CCCCCCCCCCCCCCCCCCCTGCCCCGTACTCGCACAAGTCACTCACCGACCCTGAATTTCTTGGTGTCAGGGTCGAGGGCGTGGTAGTACATGCGGAACTCCTTCTCCATGTGGTTGATCACCACGGGCCACCCCACGAACAGCCTGTCCCATTCGCCGGATCCCCCGACGTCGACGCAAGCCCCCGTGGGGTGCTCTCCCTCGACGCGGCACCTGGGCGGACACGAGAGCGACGGGAGCGGAGCAAGGTGGTGCGGTGCTGATGTTACTTGTTGGCAGCGGCGGTCGTAGTGGGGATGAGTGTGTACAGCAGTAGCCACCGTGGCTCAAGCATCCCTGGGGTATTTTGTGTACAGTCCTGGCTCCGATAGACGAGGGTGGTGGGACAAAGGCCCTCGACCCTGCTATATCGGAGCCCCCTCTTACACCCGAATACGAGGGTACCTAGCAATGCTTAAGAGGGCCAAGTCCGTGACAACTGATTTTTGACCCTCTTACATCGGAGCCAGGACTGTGGCAAAAAAGGGGGTTATCTCGTTTTGGTCTGGCATGAGTGTGTACACTAGGCGCGGTGGCTCAAGCATCCCTCGGCTTGTATGTTGCGTAATAAATAGGCTTTATGTCGTTCTGTCTTCTTCTCCACAGATGTTTCGCATTATCTTCGAAATGCCAAAAGTGGTAGGATTGGCACCAGGGCCACATCGAGGCATCGCGGGTACCTTCCTTTCTACCACAGGCGGGGCACAGCTTCGGTGTCACAGACACCTTCGTGAGCTGCATCTCAAATAAATTCCGTGTGAGAGTGTGCGTTAACCACAACCTCACAACGCGGCGCCAAGAGCACGATATGTTCGCAAGGAAGCTGGGAGAGATGGAAGTGGTAGATGTAGCACACGGCGAAGTAGCCCTCGGCAAGGGCGATGTCTGCGTGCGGGAGACGAGCTGCGTCGAGTACCGTGCGGGTGTTGAGAGTCGAATTACACCTCTCTTTTCCCCCTCTGTGTGTCGATCGTGCATGGAACGGCTTCTCACTCGTCGATTCTCCCCCCGTTTGCCACGACCCACATTTCACTCTGTCTTACCTCTTCTCGCTCTCTGTCGTCCGCGTCTATGCATTCCCTTTTCTCGAAGGCGAGGTTTCGTAGCCGCATGCATACAAGTAGCGCCCCGGGGTTTCGATTGTCGCTCCGATCGCAAAAACATGGCAATTCGTTGTGTTGAAAGAGAAAGAAAAAAATCTCGAACAAAGAACTCACCAGTTGAGCCCGTCCTGGGAGAGGGCGACGCCGATACGCATTCGAACTCCCTTGAGAGGCGCGTTGCTGTCCCCGCCGACGACAGGCTGCACGTGAGACAAGAACCAATACAACAAAACGCA